CCTTGCAGTTTATTGGAAAGGACCTTCATGTACTGGCTGCTCATTTCGATTTCACTTCTTTTTCTACTTTCTTGAATTTTTTTAGGAGGATCTTCTATTTTTCTATGATTACTCTTTAAGTCCTCCACTTTTTCATGTACTTGGCGTAATTTTTTTACTTCTTTTAAGTTTTTTATGGGGATCTCACTTATTTTTACATAAATAATTTCTATAGTGAATGACTTCAAATAATAAAAAATGCGAGATCAGCTTGAATCCTTTAAGGTTTGAAAAGTAAGCGGAACGCATTGCAGGAAGTCTCATTGCAAGAAATTTATTAAAGAAAAAATGTAATCACTTTATCAGTAACATTTAAGTGCAACAAGACTTTCTGTCATGTGTCATAGGTACTTTTGAGAAATTAAAGGACTAAGTCTGAGCTCTCTTTTTCTATGTTATTGTAATACAATAAATTATGTGTTACAAATAGTGGATCTCTGTTCATTTTCTCATTATTTAAATTTCTTGCAACAAAACTTTCTGCCATGCATTGCATGTACTTTTGAAAATTCTAACGACTGAAACTGATATTGCAATACGATTAATTGTGCGTTACAAATAGTGGATTTCTCTTTCATTTCTCGCTTTATCTTTCACATTCGAATTTCTTGCAACAAGATTTTCTGCCACGCGTTCTGCGTACTTCTAAAACCTTAACGGATTCAATCTGATCTCCCATTTTCTATATTATTGTAATCATTTTATCAGTAACATTTAAATTTCCTGCAACAAGACTCTCTGTCATGTGTCGTGCGTACTTTTGAGGATTTAAGGAAATAAATCTGACCTCTCTTTTTTATATTATTCTAATACAATAAATTATGCGTTACAAATACTTGATTTCTTTTTTCATTTCTCGCTTCATCTTTAACATTTAAATTTCTTGCAGTGAGACATCCTGCCATGCATTTTATATACTTTTGGAAACTTAAAGAACTGAAGCTGGTCTCTTTCCTATATCTGGCTTCAGACACATTATGTATATTGTAGACTCTACGTTTACTATAATAAAAAACAAATGTATTTTTATTTTAAGCTCTACATTAATTTGCAAGTAAAATACGGTTTGTATGTGTTATTTACAAATAAAATTAATGTCATATGAATAACGCACAATTTGTTATATTATAATACCAGTTTCAGTCTTTTATGTTTCCAAAGTACACACAACGCATCGCAAAATGTCTTGTTGCTAGAAATTGAAATGTTAAACATGAAATGAGAAATAAAGAAAGAGATCCACTATGTGTAACGCACAATGTATTGTATTAGAATAAAGTTCACAAGTATTCACAATGCGTGGCAGAAAATCTTGTAACAAATTTAAATATTAATAAATAAAGTGAGAAAATGTACAAAGAGATCCACTATTGGTAACGCACAATTTATTGTATTATAATTCCAGTTTCAGTCCTTTAAGTTTTCAAAAGTACGCACAATGCATGTCAGAAAGTCTTGTTGCAAGAAACCAAATGTCACAAATCCAAACTGACAGTTACAGGTTAGAAATGAACGAGCGGCATGAGTGACAGCCATATTACAATTCCGACGACGAGCCTTGCCGACTGATTCCGAGAGTCGACGAATCGATGAATGGACTTAGCTCCTATTGGCTAACAAGGAGAGTGCAAGACCTTCAACTCACCAATTTTATTGAAACTTTGTACATTTATAAATTTCGTTCCCTTGATTACGAGTATATACCATTATAGGGGCAGACATTCGATAGTTTTTGAGATATTTGTAATTAAAGTTTTATTATTACCTTGATGTACGAGTTTAGTTGCAGCAATCGTCAACTGTAACGGTGGCGCAACGGTAGAGTACCAGACTCGTACGCCGCTGACCGGGTTTTCGTATCCTTCCTGGTAAAAGTTTTTTTGTTTTCGTTCTAATTAATTCATTTTCATACACGAACATTAAAAATGGTAAACAATATAATAAAAATATTAATTCTCCGCCCAACGCGCCAGAAAAACAAAATTAAATGAAAAAATAGATAATATATTATAAAGTAATCGAAAAGAATTCATTTCAATGCGTACAAGCCGCCTGATCGGCTCTAACAATAATATAAACAGTCACCATAAACGTAAGACGAGAAGTTCGACGAAGCAAAGAAATAACGCACGAAGATTCTGTGGGGGATACATAGTATGAGCCCAACAAAAGAAAAATTAATCAGAAAAAAAAAAACTTTTACCAGGAAGGATTCGAACCCCGGTCAGCGGCGTACGAGTCTGGTACTCTACCGGTGCTATCGATTGCTGCAACCAAACTTGTAGATCAAGGTAATAATAAAACTTTAATTACAAATATCTCCAAAACTATTGAGTGTCTGCCTCTATAATGTTATATATTCGTAATCAGGGGAGCGAAATCTATAAGTGTACAAAGTTTCAATGAAATTGGTGAGTTGAAGGTCTTGCACTCTCCTTGTAAGTGTTGACGAAAAGAATAAGAATCAGAATCAGAAAAAAAATCTACAATTTCTGACCGATTCATGACATGGTATTACGATATCTCAGTTGTACATAGACCGATTTTATTGATTTTGGTTTCATTAGAAAGCTTATATGCGATTTACATTAGAAAAATGCCTTTGGATTTAGAAAATACAGCAGGCGTGATGAGATATTAGTGACACAAGTTTCGGGTTAGGTTGGAATCGCAGTTTTACGAGTAAAAGATACGTGGTAGCGCCAGCGCCAGCGCCAGTATACACGGTGGCGTATAATTTTTCATGTACTTGGCGTCGAGACGCTACCGCGTCTCTAGATTGAGATAGATATTAACGAGTACAATAACAATGTAGAATAAACATTCAATTTTCAATAATTGAATGTAGAAGAACATTTCCTATTAGTAACGATGTAATATACTAATTCTATTTCTATTTATTGGACGCGTTATAGAAAGTTGAACGCAATTGAGACGATAATAATACGTTCTGAGAATACTTCAATGCCGTCGACCTGTTGATTAGTCAATATTTGTATTGTTCATTATGCCTTGACGGTTTTTTGAATAGACGGCTCTTTACTGATTTCAAGCGGCGTATCTTAATATCGTTCTTGAAAAAGAATAATTTAATTATTCTGAATTAATTTAATGGAAAAGAGCGTTATAAACAATATTCCATTTGAAATAAAACACCTAAATAATCCTTTTACTTTTGGAAATACAAGAAAATATTTTAAGTATTATCTAAACTATTGTAAAGTGTAGGTTATTGAATTTAAACTATTATAAAGGGTAGTTTCGTTTGATGAAATACCTAGTTACAAAAATCAGAAAAATAATAGTATTAGTCAAAAATAAAAATTGACGAATGGCCAAAGACACGCATGCGTCATCGCGAGATCCATATCAATCCAAAGATCCGTGAAGACTCAAAAATCGCCTCTCGGAGACCTGGGAGGATCTCGTACACCTGTAGAAAAAAAAGGAGAAGAATGAACAATAATCGTTTGACGTTTAATTCGCGATACATTAATATTACAGCAAAGATTATATTCACTATAACTATTAACTATTGTCAGAAATTAGTTTTTAGTTGTTCTAATCAATAGATATCATAATATAGAAAAATTTCTCACGATTAATGTTTTAATTTAAGCGAACATTGAATGTTACTGTATGCATTATAAATGTTTAATTGCATCGGCGATGTAAATTTTAATTGGATCTCGAAGATTCAGATTGTTATTTCAATGTTTTTTAAGGAAGTAATATTCCCGAACATGAGAAGTACCATGTATGTATATGTTACAGTGAACACCGAAATCTGGAGAATGTCGACTTTCACCGGTGAATGTCAACATTCACATAGTCGCTTGGTGTATGTCGAAATATTTGCTAAATACCCTTATTTCTGACTTACACCGGTAAATGTTGACATTCACCATGCACTAATGGTGAATGTTGAACATGTTGGAGATCTATATTTTCTTCTCCGTAATTCAGTCGCTATAAAACGTCACAAGAGTGACGTAACTTTTTCGCCCCTCTTTCTGAAAGGAATGACCAAGAATTTAAAATACACGCTACATTCTACATGAGAAAAGAAAATAATAGTAATAAAAAAATTACTTACTTATGTGATTCAAATCTTATTTATTGCAACAACTTAAACTATTATAACACTTTGAATTGTACAAGAGTTCCTTGCTTTTACAACTGCATTTATTTGTGGAACACTTCCTTTTGCAATGACAGCGTCTATAGCCTTGTCCCCCGCTTCTTGAATTAGCTGCAGCTGCTTCTCTCAGCGACATTTCTTGAAAAGAAATCTCATCTATGGAAAGTAACTTTTCTTTACAAATTACGAACTGATTACGTGTGTAAAGCTGGTTGAGGGTACCATTTTTATTTGAGAGTTTATAGAAGTGGGAGTCTTCTATTCCAACAACAACCGCTAACACATTTCGGTTATCTGTACGACAACGGTCGACATCAGGAACTTGCATTCGTACATTATCACCAATTTGAGCAGGAGGAAATTGTTTTTGTGAGGCTCGTAACATTTTTGTTGCTTGCAGTAAAAGATTTTCTTTCGCGGCCGCTCTTTTTGTAGAAATCAACTCGTGTTTTTCAGTCAGAATTTGATGTGAAGACGTTGTAGATTGTAGGTCCTCTTCAATATTTTTCTTTGGAATATGGTTTTTGTTATAATTTACTCGCAAGAACTGTGAGGATGGGAGATAGGAAGGAAATAAAAATGAAAATGAATAGCGATTCCTTTATTACGAGAAAACTTTTGTGCAAGCGAGCATGACGTAGCTCCGTCGTGCAACGCGCCTAGGCACTCGTAACGGTTTCGAGCTCTGATTGGATAACAATCTGTTCGCGTAAAGACGGCGACGAACAACGCGCCAAGCAGGGCGAACGCACATTAAACTATTCCAATACTTCCACCGTTTATGCGCGTTCATACAGAATATTTCTCGCGGTAGAGCCTTTGTGAAAATATCGGCCTTTTGCTGTTCTGTTCGAACATACTCGACTTTTAACACATTTTCTTCGACCTTTTCGCGTATATAATGATATCGAATGTCCATGTGTCTTGTGCGTTTGTGGAACTCTGGGTTCCTGACTAGCCTGATGGCGCTTTGATTGCCACCAATATCACAGTGGCACTCACACATGAACATCTGATATCCGATAACAATCTTCTAAGCTATACTGCTTCTCGTGATGTCACCGATGCAGCAACGTACTCTGCTTCGGTCGTACTTACAAGGGAACATATCCAACTGTCACACTCCGATTTTTATCAAATTTACAGGGTAGGTAGTTCTCAAAAAAATATTTGACATCTATTTTTTTTTATCTGCAATCGTCTATGTTGAAGAGGTGAAAACAGCTCCTAAAGTTAGGGGTGAAAACCATGTTTTTTTAAATATCTCGAAAACTAGAGGAGCTAGGACAAAATTTTTTTTTTCAAAATATGCACTTTTGAATGGGTGATTTATGTATGCCAGAAGAAATTGTTTATTTGTTTATTTAAACAATTTATTTTTGAAAAAATGTTTTTTTTTTTGTTAATTTATGTTACTAAATATTGTTTCTCATTCATGAAAATTTATATGTGTAAACTACAGGGTATAATTAAGGATACATGTTTTTGGAAATTTTGATTTTCACCATATAACAATAATTATATTAAATTGGGCATTCCTACTTCCGCGCCGAAAATGTGGCATCTTTATCATTTTTTCTCTCATAAAGTATGCGAGATTTTAATTTGAAATTGTACCCACGTCTCTAGTATTATTTTACTATGATGTATAAATTTTTATGGAAAGATTTATCGAAAAATATTAATATTACAGCTCATTGATCGTGACGCTGCAATGATCACATTAACCGCTGGTTGACTTGATTTCTACCGTTCAAATGAACCGAAGTAAATAAATCAATTAGGGTTTTATTCAATATGAATGTCGTTATCCTCTAGCGAAAAACAAAATCAAAAGTTAATTTTCAAGGTATTAATTGTATGTGCACGTTGCGTAGCATGTGTACCCGTAACTTCACCACATTTCTTAAGTGAACGGCGTGGTCAAGCGGTTAAAGCGTTGGCCTATGGTTAACGCTGTCCTGTGTTCGTTTTCTGGAAGTTGTTATTTTTTTTTTGTTAGTTTAAACATTTTCATACTTTAATTATTCTATTATTTACTGTGGAAAAATAAAAAACATTTAAAATCATAATAACTTAATTTTTTGAATGCTCCAAACAGGAATGTTTCTCGTTTAAAATATATGGTAGCTCTGAAAAGAGTTGATTTTGTTGTGATGTTTCTACGTCGTTAATAAAATAATTTCCTGAAAATAAGATAGCTAATTAAAAATATCTATGATATGTATTCATTGTGAAAACGTTGTGGCACTTAAATGTTCCTGGTGTAAAGAACATTTATGTTTTACACATTTTTTCATTGACTTTCACTATTGCAGCCTATATCTAGAATAACATATTTTTAATTAGCTATCTTATTTTCAGGAAATTATTTTATTTACATAAATCACCCACTCAAAAGCGCATATTTTGAAAAAAAAAATTTTGTCCTAGTTTCTCTAGTTTTCGAGATATTTAAAAAAACATGGTTTTCACCCCTAACTTTAGGGGCTGTTTTCACCCCTTCAACATAGACGATTGCAGATAAAAAAAAATAGATGTCAAATATTTTTTTGAGAACTACCTACCCTGTAAATTTGATAAAAATCGGAGTGTGACAGTTGGATATGTTCCCTTGTTAGTGTGACTAATTTTTTACTAGCCCACGTTACCGGACCACCTGCGAGCTGAAACACGTATCCGGTCGTCGACCTACGTGTTTCCACGTCTCCTGTGTAATCGGGATCCGAATAGCCGGTGAGCACGCTTCCACCGCCGCGATTCTCGATACCATGCTCGACTGTTCCTGAGAGATACGCCAAAATACGTTTTACAGCTCGTCAGTGGTTAATACTGTGATTGTTTAGGAACCTGCTCACTGAGTTTACCGCGAAAGCTTTATCCGAACGCGAGACTATTGCTAATAAAATAATTTTTTTGAACAAAATTTAACCGATTTCGAAAAAGGTGCAGTGAAAAGCATGAAATAATTTCTAGTTAATGTATATGAATACGCACTAGCTCTAGATACAATTGCTTAAAAGTATGGAAAAATGCAGTGAAAAGTGAAATAATTTCTATTTAAACTTCATTGTTATTCACCGTCGTTTGATGAATTTGGTTAAATTATTCAATACATTATATTAAATGCAATGCACATTTTTCGGAGGCGGCGCAGATGTACAACATTTTTAATTCCGGTTAGCTTTGGTAGAGGCGGCAGGGATTCAACTCCCTGGCTTTTAATAAATTGCTCTAATGATTTGAAAGTGAAATTTGTTCCTCGGTCCATAATAACCATGCGAGGTGTACCAAATAATACCAACCGCTCTTTAAATACCTGTAATGTTTCAGACCCGGATAAGGGTTTAAGCGGAACAAGCTGTACATATTTCGTAAAGGCATCAACTATTACTAGGATGTGTTCATACCCATTTTTCGTTTTTGTAAATGGGCCGACACAATCACAATGAATTGTGTCAAAAGGGATGGGCCTCTTCGGTATTGAATATAATTTGCCTTGTTTCGGTCCGGACTGTCGTTTGCACACCACACAGACAATACAATGATCCAAGTATTTACGAATAAATCCGCGCATTTTCGGAATCCAATATTTCAGTGCGATTCGTTCAAATGTTTTTTCAAAGCCCACGTGACAATTCTCGTCGTGGTATAGCCGTAACAAGCCTAACCGACTGCCTTTCGGTACAAAACTTCTGTAAATTATTCGACCGATGTCCCTGAGTATTTTACGGCACAATATTCCGTCCCTTAATTCGAAGTCAAAAGCAATGGTTTCGTTAGCTTCAATCCTTTGGGTAATCTCTTTCGTTTCCTCGTCGTTTTTCTGCGCGATTGATAACCAGGGGCCCTCGCAAATGACGTTCACTCGATAATTTTTAGGCGGGTTTCTTCTTATATAATCGACGTGCTCTACGAGTTTTCCCTTTCTATACTCAAGATCGAAGGTATAATCCTGAAGGAACACCCACCAACGAGCTATCCGCGGCAATAAATCCCTTTTATTTTGTATGGCTTTAACGGCATTGCAGTCTGTGATGATTTTAAACTTGATTCCTAACAAGTATACACGGAAACATTTTAACGCGTTCACAATCGCAAGAGTCTCTAATTCATACGAATGGTACTTTGATTCGTCACTCGTTGTCCTGCGACTAAAATAGAAAACGACACGCAATTCTTTGTCTACCCTCTGAAATAAAATTCCTCCATAACCGATCAAACTGGCATCTGTATGTAACTCGGTTTCTCTACTTGGATCAAAGATTGTTAATAATGGCTGAGTTGTGAGATGGTCTAACACATATTGCCATGCCTCATTCTGCTCTTTACCCCACGACCACGGAACATCATTCTTCGTTAATTTCGTTATGCATGCCGTTCGTACTGCGAATTCGGGAATAAATTTTCTGAAATAACTCGCGATCCCATGAATTGCCTAACTCTCCTTACATCTGTGGGAATAGGCGATTCTAATAATGCCTTAACTTTTCGCATTCCCGGGCGGATACCTTCTGCGGATACTTCACGGCCTAAATACTCAATCGTCGTCTGGAAAAATTTACATTTCTTTACGTTTAAAGAAAAACCAGCAACGTCTAACGCGTGTAACGCGGACTCTAAATTCCTTAGCCCTTCCTCTATCGTTGCTGACGGTATTATAATATCGTCCAAATAAAAAATTGCTACGGTGAACCTGAGGTTCCCCAAGGCTCCATTTATCGCGCGCTGAAAAACCGCAGGAGCATTGGCAAGCCCGAATGGCATATCCAGCGTGGTGAAATATCGCCCTCGTCCCAGTCGGTCTAGTTGATCGTCTATTAGAGTCAACGGATATCTATCTTTAATCGTTATTTTATTTAACCTGCGATAATCAACACACATTCGGATACTGCCATCCGCCTTTGAAACTAAAATAATAGGACTCGCGAACGGCGAAACACTCTCGCGTATAATACCGCTTCTTAACAGTTCGTCTATAATTTTACGTACTTCCGCTCGTTGCGAGAATGATATGCGATAAGGCTGGTATCTTACCGTTTTATCCTCTTTCAATACAATTTTTTCTCCAGTACTTACACTTCGAAGTTGATACCCTTCCGCAACCATTTGTTTGTACTTGTCTAATAGGGTTCCAAGCGGCCGACTGATCTCAAGTGGCAGGTTCTCGACGATGTTGCATCTCGGTGCAGGTTCCTTCTTTCCCTCGGCTACCGGCTCCGACGGATAGTGTAGTGGCCTCTTCTCCCTCATCTACGTCATGGAGGAATCGGGAACCACCAGAAAATCAATCTCGGCAGCTGCATCTTCGGTTTGAATGGTTACGGCAGTGCGACCGATGACAGTTACGCGGCCGACCCCGAGACCGCGAATATTCGTAAAATGCGGCAAAACCTTGCAGTTTGCCTGCTTCGCGATCTTCTCACGAATCATCGAGCACTCCGCGTCCGAATCCAAAAAAGTTGACACCATCAGATCTAGGAATAATATGGGGGTCAACCCAAGTTCTCTGATGCGTGCTGCATTCGCCTCTAATTTTTTCGAATCGGCATTCGCTTTCTTTCGAGCTGAGTCAAGCTGGGTTGTACGTTGTTTTGCCCAACACTGGTTCTCTTCGTGCCCCCGCTTGTAACAGAAGGCACACACAGGGCCAGTTGAAGGCCTTTTCACCGTTTCCCGAATTTTCAT